ACGTGTGTGGTGGCGCGGGGGGGGGGTGTGGGATCAGCTAGCTGCATCTTCCAGGAAGTGATGTCATGAGGGGGTCACAATGTTCTCTCTAAACTGTGGAGTCTTGTGAGCAAAAATTCTACTTTGTGAGCTACTGGCATTAAAGTTGTGAGCAAGTGATTTGGCTACTGCATCAATTAGTTTGCTCTGGAACCCTCCGTCCTGAGCTAAGACAAAAATCTGTGAGCTGGAGGCTAAAAAACTGTGAGCTAGCTCACACCAACTCAGCTTAGAGGGAACACTGGTCACGGCCCATCCTGTAAAGGCCAATATTCTGCGAGGTGTGTGGAGGCGATAACGGCGGCGGCAACGGCGGCGGCAATGGCGAACATCGGCTGCAGCAAAGGTGTTCCGGCGGTGAAGGTGGTGTGGCGCGATGCGGCGGCGGCGGCGGCAGCAGCGGGGCCGGAGGAGCGATCCCTGGTGGCCAGCGGTAACATCGGGCGGCTGTCGTCAACGAGGCAGAGGCGGAGGCGCGCAATGAGGTCATCAACAGGCGCGGCAGAGCCAGAAGGACGTGGCCGAGGCCGGAAGAGGCCGCATCGTGCGCCGGCCCGCCTGAGCGCCAGAGGAGGAACAACCAGCTGAACGAGCCACCAGGAAGAGAGCCGAGCCAGGACCGCCTCCACCAGGGTGCCGGTAGGCAGCCCCTTCCCCAAATATACGATGTGCCCCAAGTTAGGGAACAAATGTGTGCTTAGCACCCCACTCTGTAAACCGCCCAGAGACCCCCTACCAAGGGGTTAGGGCGGTATAGGAAATTGAAAGTTAAAAAAAAAAAAATTCTCTGCCAACAGGGAGGAGCAGTAACTTCTTTAGAGAGATACCAGCTGCAAAGGACGGGGAGAAGACCCTTGAAGGCAGGTCTTTGCAACCCAGTCGATAATAAATAGACCTAGAACGGTGTCAACGACAATCGTGGCTTCCTCTTGGCCTCCAGATCTCCCTTGCCCTGCCCCCCCGCCCAGAGTCTTGTGTGCTGGGGGGACCCCAAACACCTTCAGGAGGAGAAACATCCCAACCCCAATTGTTTGCAGTGCTATGAGACATCGTGGTGGTTCTTGCACCATTAAAGCTCATGAAAAAGTAACAGGCTTGGCACCAAGCAATTAACAGATTTAATTTGTGTTGAATAAGCAGGGGGCGTTTCAGAAATGGGGAAGGAGGAGGCACTGGAGCGGCGGGGGGGACGACCTTCTCTCCCCCAGGAAATTCCAGCTTGCATTTAGGCAGCATTCAGATGTCTATTGCAACAATGCTGAAACACAAATGGGCCAGCATTCTGCTGGTGTGCACACCAAGATCCACCCCTCCTCCCTTGGTCTTTTCTCATGCCAAACAGAGAGGGAGAGGAAGAAGAGGAGGATGATTAAGAGGAGGAGGAGATTGGATTTATACCCCGTCCTTCACTGGGAGTCTCAGAGCGGCTTACAAACTCCTTTCCCTTCCCCTCCCCACAACAGACACCCTGGGAGGTGGGTGGGGCTGAGAGAGTTCTTTTCAGAACTGCCTTTGAGAGAACAGCTCTGACAGAACTATGACTTGTCCAAGGTCACCCAGCAGCTGCGAGTGGAGGAGTGGGACATCAAACCCGGTTCTCCCAGATTAGAGTCCATGCACTAAACCACTACCCCAAACTATAGAGAAGCCAGGTGCACAAACAAGCGTGCTCAGACTGCATATATGAAGGCAGCTCTGGATAAACGCAGCTTGTCTGAAGAAACGGTAAGGTGGCTAAGAGAGATACCTTCATAATCTTGTCTTTGACTCCTGCCACCAGGACCTTGGTGCTCCGAGGAACTCGCGTGTTGGTCAGTAAAATCCTTAATGTGGGGACACTGGGGCGGGGAGGGGGGGGGAGAAAGAAGAGACACACCATTTAGTCTCCCCAGCAAGGCCCACGTACATCTCTTCACTCAGTTTTTTACTTCACAGGCTGTCCTTGACTCCTCATAACTGGCCCCGGTAAGTCACGGTTGCATACATTTCCAGACTTCAAAACAAGGGGACTGGAATTCAAGTGCAGAACTTTAAAGGAAGTAAATATCAGTGTGGTAGTCTGCGTCTGAAGCGAGCATCACCAAGAGAAGAAGAAAAGAAGAGATTGGATTTATACTCTGTCCTTCACTATCTGCAGGAGTCTCAGAGCGGCTTACCGACTCCTTTCCTTTCCTTTCCCTTCCCCTCCCCACAACAGACAACCGGTGAGGTAGGTTGGGCTGAAAGAGCTCTGAGAGAAACTGCCCTTGAGAGAACAGCTCTGAAAGAACCTGTGACTGACCCAAGGTCATACCAGCAGCTGCATGCAGAGGTGTGGGGAATCAAACCTGGTTCTCCCAGATTAGAGTCTGTGCTCCTAAGCACTACACCAAACTGGCTCTCAAGAGCTGAGTTTAAACCACTGGGGGACCTCGTTCTAGTCCCTTCCCCCTCCGCCTAGACTTCCTTACAGGCCTGTTGTGAGGATAAGGTGGGGAAAGGAACCACAGCTGATGCCTTCAACTACTTAGAGCAGGGGGGGGGGTCCCTAAGATGGCAACCAAGGATACCAGACACCCATAGACCCTTTTCTGATGCCCGCCGAGTGTGTTTCGACAGTGGGCAAGGCTGGGTGGGCCTTTTGCTCAGCGAGGCTTCTGACTGGCCGCCCAGGCATTTTGAAATGTCGCTTTGGCAGCAGCTGCCACCACAGCACAGGCCACTTCACGGTGTGACTGAAGGTCAGCTGTGGGAGCTGCACTGCGGCCAGCACCGCCTCCTGTGGCGGCCATTTTACGGGAGCCATTTTGTGGCTGTCTCCGCCATGCCGTGTCAGACTCCCCGAGGGGCCCCCACAGGCTCGAAAAGGCTGGGGGGCCCTGCCTCAGAGGAAGGGGAGGGTCCCTCCTCAATTCAATTTAGAAGCGCTTGGTTTGATTTTGCATCCTGACTCTGTTCAAAATGAAGAGAGCTGACTAGTGTGACTAAGTTTGAGAGAAGCGCCCAGTCCTGACTGGCGCAGAGCAGGCTGGTGAGCCGCCAGAAAACATTCAGACAAGCAGCTTTGCAGGATGGAATATTCAAGGAGAATGCAGAACAATACAAAAGGGCATTTACTGGACATGGCCACAGGACAAATTTATTAGAAGAAGAAGAGATTGGAGTTATACCCTGCCCTTCACTCAAGAGTGGCTTACAAACTCCTTTCCTTTCCCTTCCCCTCCCCACCACAGACACCCTGTGAGGTCGGTGGGGCTGAGAGAACTCTGAGAGAAACTGCTCTTGAGAGAACAGCTCTGAGAGAACTGTGGCTTGCCCGAGGTCATCCAGCTGCTGCAAGTGGAGGAGTGGGGAATCAAGCCCGGTTTTCCCAGATTAGAGTCCGCGCGTTTAACCACTGACCGTAAAACGAGGAAATTATGCTTGCTAGCACTTTATTATGCTTCTGGTTTTAACATTGTTATCTATATTAATTGATGTTGTGATTTTATGCGTAGTGTTGGAATTCTATTCTGTTTTGTAAGCTGCCCTGAGCCGGCCTTGACGATAAAAATGTAATAAATCAGTCAAATCAATAAATCAATCAATCACTACACCAAACTGGCTCTTTACACCTGTTGCTTTACACCAGTCTATCTGCCATTTGGCTGTCTGTCAAACTACAACTCCCAGGATTCTTTAGGGAGAAGGACCACTTCGCAGCATTGATATGTGCAAGCCTAGCCAACCGTTAAGGTAGCAGAGAACACTTTCTCACTCACACAAATGTCAGAATCCTCAACTGGATCAGGAGCTCTCTCCGCTACATTCAATTGAGGATCTATGTCTTGGTCCGAGTTACATCAGCGTGTCCCCCAAAGGTATTTTACCAGCTGGCAAAAGGCCTGGATTTCACAATCAAGGACAACGCTGCTTCCCAGTTCTCTCAGTGAGAAGATTAAATACTAACAGAGCAGAGCAATTTCACAGCCCATAGAAGATTTTTGTGGAGTCCAATTACAGCCCATTGGCAGAGGGTGGCGTTTTGGCCGCCGTCTCTCTTTGGAACACTCCACATTTCATTGGAAGCACCGCTCACTGCCAAGGAGTCGCTGCATCCCAACGGGTCCTAAAAGCAACACTGGTCCTATAAGCAGAGGAGTTATCACAGGCCAGACTGGAGGAGGAGGCTGGACAATTCCCCCAACACCACCCTAAGCAGGCCGAGACAGCCTTTCCTCCAAAAGGAGGAGGAGGAAGAGGAGGAGATTGGATTTATACCCCACCCTTCACTACCCAAGGGAGTCTCAGAGCAGCTGACAAACTCCTTTCCCTCCCCCTCCCCACAATGGACACCCTGTGAGACACGTGGGGCTGAGAGAGCTCTTGACAGAAACTGCTCTTTTTCAAGGACAGCTCTTATTAGAACTACGGCTTGCCCAAGGTCATCCAATCAGGTGCAAGTGGAGGAGTGGGGAATCAAACCCGGTTCTCCCAGATTAGAGTCTGCGCACTTAACCACTACACCAAACTGGCTGAAAGAACAGTCACACCAAAAAAAATCACTTAATATTTTTATATTAATTCTGCTTCCCCCACCCCGTGAATAGGTGCTTTTCAGAATCCCAGCGGGAGGATACTCACACGCAATGCATGCAAACAATTAAGACTAACTTTATCACAGAAGGGCCAGATTCAAATATTCCCTTTTCATCAGCTTTGACATGTTCTACACTTCCCATATCGACACACCAGATCCAAAGCGGCTTCAGAAGACAGATACCCATGACAACTGGAATGTCTCCAAGACCAACCACAGGTTTCCACAGCATCAATCGCAACGGCCTGAAAGAACGTTACCTTTTTAAGGAGCAGATGTTCCCCGACTGGTACCGCAGAGCTCCGCCTAGACATGTGGAGAAAGGAATCATAGAGTTGGAAGGGACCTTCAGGGTCACATTACTGAACAGCACCCATGCACCTTTTTGACTCTGCCTGAGGAGTGCAACCGGACATGAACAAACAGCGTGAAGGAAGGGAGTCCTTTGGGATACACGCCAGGGGAAAAGCTGGCTGCCAGGATCACTATGAAAGGCAGCCCAAAGGGGGAGGGAAGGCTGCTTCTTGGTTATGGCACCAAAGCGCTAGAACTCTCTGCCGAAGAGGATTCATCTGTCCCCTCATTTGACCATCTTCTACCAGCGGGTGAAGACTTTGTATGGTTTGGCATTCCCTCAGCAAGCCCTCCTTCCTGGCCAAATTGCTGTTTTTCATGGCATTTACTTTGCTTCTTGCTGTTTTTACAACCTAAGTCATAAACAGCAAACCCTCATCCCATGGGAGAAGAACCTAAAGGTTAGCTATCATGTGACTTAACGGCAGCTGCCTTAAGTGGTTTGTTCAGGGGTCATTTCTTGCAGGAGCGCACAGGAGCAGAGCTCCGGCAGTAACGAGCCCAGGGGGCGGGCACATGCAACAAGCCCCACCCCCTGCTCCCAGCAGCCCTCAGTCAGAGCAAGAAACAGCCAGGTAAGTTGCAGAGCCCCCCTGGCCCCCCGGCCCAAAACAGTCCAGTGGCACCTTTAAGACCAAGTTTTATTCAGGTAAAAGCTCTCCCCCCTCTGCCAGGACAGATCTGCGCGTCCCCCCCCCCCAATAGCTAGCAATCCAAAACAGTCCAGTGGAGCCTGAGCGGTGGGTGTTGCCTTCTGACACACTTCCGGTGAGGTCAGGGGGTGTGGCACATGCAAATAAGTTCTGCTAATGAATTATGCTAATGAGCTCCTGCACCTCTTTTTCCACGAAATGACCCCTGGGTTTGTTTATCTCGGTCTCTAAGTAGCTAGGATGATTTCACTTCTGGAGAAAGAGAGTTCTGATAAATAATGGGGAGGGCAATTCAGCTCTCAGTTCTGAGAATTTAGGGCGATCAAAGAAGAGGTGGTCGTCTACAGAGTCCATTTTGTCACTGCCACAATTGCAGTGTCTGCCTGAATATGGAACTCCACTGGATCTTCCTAGTGTAGGCTTACCAAATTCCGGCGGGGGAATTGTATTTCCTGGCAGGAGCCTCGCCGCGGGGACGGCCGCACGCGCTGCACCCGCCGTCGCTCCGCGTCCCATCCTGGCGACGGCGGGTGCAGCGTGTGCAGCCATCCCTGCGGCGAGGCTCCTGCCAGGAAATACAATTCCCCTGCCGGAATCTGGTAAGCCTATCCTAGCGTCACTGTTTTTCATCGCTTGGCGTGTATTTCAGCTCTGCTTTTAATTGCTTTAATGAAGTGTGGGGTTTGTGGGGGGGGGCTGATTTTACTGGTTTTGAAATGCGGATTTTATCACGCACGTTTCACTTTGTTAGCCACCTTGGTGGGCCTCGTGAGAAAGGAAAAGCGGGAGATAAACGTTGTAAAGCACATAAATAACAGCGCACAGCACACCTACCCCTCGTCCCCACTGCGTTGTCCACCCCCGATGGGTTCCCGTGGATCACCTGTTCTCCTCGGAAGGCCCAGCTGTTAATCAGGGCCAGCTCCTCTTCAGACCACCTGGAAGCAGAAGGCACAGCAGAGACAGAGAGTGGCGAGCCCTTCTTAGTCCGGCTGGCTCAACACACTTCCTGGGCCGCACCGCCCGGTTTCCCAGAAAGACCCACCCCCTATCACCTGCACAGGCTCCCCTGGAAGCTCACCTGCCCACCGCCTGGCCCTCCTCCAGGGGGTAGCCGATGACTCCGCAGCCGGAAAGCAGGGCTCCTGCCAGGCAGACCGAATACGCAGCGCTGGAGCCCAACCCGGCTCCCGTGGGCAGCTCAGAATACACCAAGATGGCCACGCTTGGCAGGAACCTAGGACAGGAAAGAACATACAAAGGCCACTGCAGCACCCTTGCTAGCGAGACTGGGGGGCGCTATAGATCCCCTCTGGTGGACACATTATGTGACAGAGGGCCACACTCCCTTTTTGAAGCACAGAACAGATCTCCAGGTCAGTAAACAGTAGGGTATGGCAGTTACAGTACCAGATTGGAGGGTTGCAGTACCATATGGAGCAGAGGTCCATCAGTGGCTATCAGCCACAAGGTATAGATAGGAACTCTCAGTCTGGGGCAAGGGATGCTCTGTATTCTTGGTGCTTGGAGGGGGCTACAGTGGGAGGGGCTTCTAGTGTCCTGGCCCCACTGCTGGACCTCCTGATGGCACCTGGTATTTCTGGCCACTGTGTGACACAAGAGTGTTGGACTGGAGGGGCCACAGGCCTGATCCAACACTGGCTTCTCTGATGTTCTTATAGGAACTCTCTGTCTGGGGCAAGGGATGCTCTGTCTTCTTGGTGCTTGGGGAGGGGGCAATAGTGGGAGGGCTTCTGGTGTCCTGGCCCCACTGCTGGACCTCCTGATGGCACCTGGTATTTCTGGCCACCGTGTGACACAAGAGTGTTGGACTGGAGGGGCCACAGGCCTGATCCAACACTGGCTTCTCTGATGTTCTTATAGGAACTCTCTGTCTGGGGCAAGGGATGCTCTGTCTTCTTGGTGCTTGGGGGGGGGGGTCAACAGTGGGAGGGCTTCTAGTGTCCTGGCCCCACTGCTGGACTTCCTGATGGTGCCTGGTATTTCTGGCCACTGTGTGACACAGAGTGTTGGACTGGATGGGCCTCTGGCCTGATCCAGCACTGGCTTCTCTCTTATGTTCTTATGTTTTATGTTCTTAAGGTGGACTATTTGTGTGTCTAAAAAGGAGTTACTGCTTCCCACTGGACCACCACTGGCTGACTGGAGAGCCACACTGCCCCCCAGTTCTTCAACGCGGATCAAGGGTAACATCTGACTAATCTCTCTTTTTTTTTTGCCACCAAGTCAAGCTGGCATGTGGTGACCCCTAGTGGGGCTTGGGGGCAAGGGGCGTTCAGAGGTGGCCTGCCATTGCCTGCCTCTGCGTCATGACCCTGGTATTCCTTGGAGGTCACCCCCTTCCAAATACTTGCCAGGGCCGGCCCTGCTTAGCTTCCGAGATCTGACACGATCGGGCTTGCCTGGGCTACCCAGGTCAGGGCTAAAACCTAACTGACCGTAATGACCCAGCTGACACCGAGGATCTCCTTACCCGCATTTGGATGCGATGGACAAGTACAGGTACAGAAACGCGAGGGTAGCAAGGCTTTGAGTGGCCGCCGTTGTGTCGGTGAGCCCTGCAAACTCTTTCAGCTTCTCTATTTGTTCCGGGCTGGGGGGCAGAGATTCAGTCAGAGCAGCTGGGGGGGGGGGAAACACAGAGAGCCAGGAAGAGGCAATATAATTACCAACACGCTAGAGACCTTCTAGGGCAGGGGTATCGAACTCATTTGTTATGAGGGCCGGAACTAACGTAAACGAGACCTTGTTGGGCCGGGCCACGTGTGTCATAAAATGTAACGCCAGGGAGCGGAGATATAAACTTGATAAAGGGCACAAACACAAAGGGTGGGTTTTTTAACTTAAAATAAAAACATGCTTAGAACATTAGCACTCTTGGAATATTTTGTTTATTGAACAGTGTCTGACAACTGACGGCTCTTGCTCTGAATGATTGCCTCAAAATGTCTGTGCTGTTGCAATCTTTGAGTAGGCTGTTCAGGTGTGTATCTGTAAGCTGCAAACCTACTATGACGCAGCAGCAGCAGCAGAACTGGAAGAAGCAGAAGACAGTCCATTCCACTGCGGGCCTGATAGAAGCCCCTGGATTGCATGTTTGACACCCTGTTCTAGGGCTCTCCCCAATTTGAACAAATTAGAAACGTGATTGTAAAAGTTGCAAATCTCAGCTCAGCTCTCCTTGCTACAGACCTTGGCACATTTCCCCAACTGGTAAAGCCCTATTTCGCGTTTAACAGGCTGCTGAACTCTCCCAATGGAGAAGCAACACAGCCCCTTCCACAGAAGCCCACGGATGCAGCCAAAGAGAGGTCTTACCTAGAGGAACCCCCCTCCCCAGCTCCAGAAATCCACACACCAATTTGATCAGCCTGGTCTGATCTACTGATCATCCATGACATTTCACAGAGGACTGTAACAAAGAGACAGGTCTCTGCCCTTTAAGATGTTACGTCTAGACTTTGACAAAAAGCAAAGGAAGAAGATCCCAGCAGCAAAGACAACAGCAGATAAATACACAGGAATACGTTACATCCAGGCAGTCTTAAGTTTCTGCAATGGCGGAGGTGTTAAGCCAATTTCATGGCGTCATGACCCCAGGGGGTCGCCACCTTCCGCCGCCACCACTCTGGACTTTGGGTCCCTTGAGAAGGCCCAGAGTACCCTCCCAAGCCCATCCAAAATGCCCCCTTTAAGCCGAGAACATATAGGCGTGATGACCAGGCACAGAACATAAAGCAAAGGGTTTATTGACACAATAATGGGGCACTGAAAACAAGCCAAGGTGCTTAAAATAATATAACAGTGTTTAAAGACAGAATAAACAAATCTAACGCGGCTACCTAGTTCACTTAACTGGTTACTACTTCAAGGCTCACAACCTGCCATACCAGGCCTCCTGCCTGTACTGTCCCAAGTGAGGGAACTTTCTCCTCAGACCAGACTGTCCCCTCTGTGAGACAAGACGGCAGAAGAGCAAAGAACACCGTTTTTCAGTTCAAACAGCTTAAGTCAGAATCTCCTCACACAATCTCTGGAAACTGATTGGCTACAACCCTCACTATACATTATGGAGATTGTAGGCTGTCTGCTTTCTACTCCTACACAGGTCCCTAGAGGCCTAGTCCTGCACAGATCATGACACATAGCAAAAGAGAGATTTGAGAAGGGGCTTGAAAAGGGAAGAGGCAACCTGGATGAAAGACTTCTAGGCAAGAGAGAATGGCAGAGTTCAGACCTCTGGGCAGCAAAGCCGGAGGAGCAAGAGGGACGGATCCATCAGGATGTGAAGGCAGAAAGGTAAGGAGGGGCACAGCCTTCGCAGGGAACTCCTCAGTTCAGCAAGGAATAGTCAGCCCTTCAGCCCACAATCAGCCGTCCCAAATACGAACTTTAGCAGACTGGGTCTTCCCAAGTGGCCAAGGATCCTGGGGCATCAGAGGGCTGAGATGGCAGGAGGAACTCCCCAGTCACCTGCATGGCTTACCAGGGAAGGCCACTAACAGTGGCTGGAGCTCGGCGGTTTCCCAGCACAGCCTGGTCCCAATATTTGGCAGCTCTACCGAGACTCTGCCATCATTCCGAGGGGTCATCTTAAGGAAGGTCCTCAGGTTCACAGCCACAGCCAAAGCAGCCTACGGAAAAGAAGGACTGATAAGCTTCAGAAGCAATTCCAATAGTCTAATTGCTCACATGCTAACTGAATCACAATCATCTGAGTGGATGTCCTACATTGGGGGGGGGGGAATTTCTGTAATTGGGTTCAGTTTGGACAACCTTGCATACCTTTCCGAGAGGTGTGTTTTTGCTTTAATCAAGCAAAGACTTATAGATATTGAGATGCAAGAACTTAGAAGTCTTGCCTCTGGTAGATGTGGTGGGGGATGTGTACTAATGGTGTTTTGGCTGAGTACCTCTCTAGCACGATTACCCCTGAGCATCTGAGGGCATTTATGTTAGCACGTTTTAAAGTTCTTCCTTCTGCTGTACTGTACAGGAGGTTTAAAAAAATTCCATACTCCTCTAGGCTTTGTTTTTGTGGTCTGGGGGAGATAGAAAATACTGAACATGTTCTCCTGCATTGTATATTTTACTGAGATATTCGTGCCATGTATCTATAACCTCTGCTACAAATTCGCGAGGGTCAATCTGATGTTTGCAAGATGGTTTTTCTATGATCTTCCCATAACTCTGAGATCACTGATCTGGTGGCTAAATTTCTATGTTGTGCCATTAAGAGGAGAGGAATGTTTCAACTCCAATGATGAAGGTTGTACTTTTATCCCTTGATGATGTATGTTTTGTTGCGATGCCAATAAAGGTAGATGATGATGATGACTGATAAGTGCAACAAGCCACAGATCCAAATGCTGCCGCAAATTAACTGAATGTGCGTTGCCTAAATGCCTTCCTTTCAGCGCTGGGAAGTGCAACGTTTCATGCAGGCTGAAAAAAAGGACTCAATAAAGAGTCATAGAGAAATTTGTTCACAAATTTTCAGATATGGACCATTGACATGACAGTTGAAAAGGTGATGGGGTGCAGATTGTATATATGCAATATATGATATACGCAATGGAGAAGCCACCTCTGGCCTCTGTGAAGCTTTAACTGCGGCTTTTGGCCTGACTGAGAGAGATGGAATATGGACTGCATGCATAGCACTGCTTGCTAATAGATTTTGCTTCCTTAAATGTTTATCTTGCTTCTAAGTCAGCAGGGCCAAGAAACAGCTACTGCAGTTGTCCCTGAAATACCCTGAACATTCAGCAACTCCAAATAAGAGTTTTAGAAGTCTCGTTCAGAAACAGGGAGCGCTCGCAAGCAATGTTCCCTCTAAGCTGTGGAGTCTTGTGAGCAAAAATTCTACTTTTTGAGCTAATGGCATTAAAGTTGTGAGCAGGTGATTTGGCTACTGCATAAATCAGTTTGCTCTGGAGCCATCCCTTCCTGAGCTATGACAAAAATGTGTGAGCCGGAGGTTAAAAGACTGTGAGCTAGCTCACACTCACTCAGCTTAGAGGGAACACTGCTCGCAAGTATGAATGAGAAAAGCAGAAGTTCTGCAAATCCTGAAGACCCAGGTTGTCCCAACCCTGGCCCCGAAACACATTTCTGTGCCCACCTAAAACACAAGATAATTGCTGGAACTTCTCCATGTAGTCAGCCCCCCCCCCCAGCTAATATTGTGAGATAAGGGGAAGTGACCCCAAAACAGCAGGGAGAGTTGGAGCCCAAAGAGGTGGCAAATGGGCAACAAAGACGTCTACAGGGAACAGGCAAATTATTATGGAAAAGATAACATTCTTTACGACAAGTCGACTGCTTCCCACTCCAACTTCTTTAAGAAATGGTCTCCGCTTATAGAACACATAACTGCATCTGACATCCAACCACTTAACCCGATATATCTCAAAATGATTTACACCCAACTAATATATTTCCTCTTCTTTCTCGTTCCTCTACTGTTGCACCAACGACATCATTGATGTTTATCTGATCTTCTAGGAATATAAAATCAATTACTAGAAAGCTCTCTAAAGAGTACACAACTTTATTAAACATGGTTTAATTCTTAAGAGCACTACTGATACTGACACAATACTATGGCGGTTATATTGTTACCCTCACGTTACTAAACGAGTTATATGTTGAAACATATTTTGACTCTAGCTTGCAAAATTTTGTAATTTCTGCTTGTAACTCTGTACTGGTTTTGGAAATATCAATAAACAGTGAAAAACTTGGGGGGGGGGGCGAACAGGCAAATGAGGTGAAGAAAAAGCAGAGATGGAAAAGAGACCCTACAAAGGATGGGGTTGAGACATGCTGGGGAAGAATTCTACTTTCCATTTTCCATGGAGAGCTCTCCTGCTCAGGCAGTCCTTGCATGCACAAGGTTTTGGCCAACTTTTAGATGAGCATGAACGAAGGAGCCTAGAATGCATAGGTCATGTCAATTTAAGCTTTATTTCATTTAAAGGATCCTTGCCTGGAACTGGCCATGTGCTCACTACTGGATACGAAGCCCACAGAGGCGCAGAGCCCTGCTCTAGGATCTGACAAGCCCTGGCAGATGAGGTCGGGGGCCACAGGTGCTGTTGTGTGCCTGACACACCTGCACCCACTTTTATGTTTGCATATGTAAAGACTACACACAGAGAGACACTTCCCAGCTCATCTAGCCAAGAAAGCAGAATTCTTAAGCCACAGGCAAATCAATTCAGGAGATGGAAACTGGCACACCTACCTTTCCGTGGACCACAGCGTGCTCACCATGAAGTATAACTTTCCCGGGAGCAGACACACACAGAGTCCTGGCCAACATTTCTCCCTCTGCAAAGACAGGCACTCACTTACACTACTGCATGCATGCACAAAGGCACAAAGAGAATTAAAAAAACCCCAAAACCTAGCCACCTCCCAAACCAGCACTCCCGACGCCCACTCCTGCCGCTCACAGCAACATGAGCGCAAAACTCAGAACCCTTTCTCACCACAGAGCCAGGCTGACTTCAGGGCAGAGAGCAGATGTGTCGGTCTGTAGTAGAACAACTGGATCTGAGTCCAGTTCCACCTTTGAGACCAACAAGATTCTCAGGGTACAAGCCTCCAAGAGCCCATGCTTTCTTCACCAGCTATCCTTTGTCTGACCAAGGGACTCTCAGAAGTCCAAATTCCCAAAACCTTGCCGGTCTCTAAGGTGCTTCTGGACTCAAAGTCAGGTGACTTAGTTCAGGGGCAGACACCTGAAGCTGTGCTCAGGCAGGCAGCTTATGCAACCCAAGCCTGCACTTCTCACAATCCCCCAAGCCCCACCCACTCACAAGTTTAAACACCCCAGAGATCGCTTGTCTTCACTTACTCTCAGCTGAAGGAGCAGAAAAGAACAAGAGTTCAGGGGCACCGTAAAGTCTAACAACATTTGTGGCTGGGTATATGAGCTTTCGTGAGTCAACGAAGTATCTGAGGAAGTGAGCAGTAGCTCCCCTGCTGACAATATTTACATTGTCATGGTTTGACTTAGTTCTGTTTTAGCCATGTAGTGCTTGTACAAGACGCCCTGAGCCTGCTATGGTGGGAAGGGCACGGTAGAAACTTAATAAAATAAGTAAATAAATTTGGTTACACTTTTCTGCTGCTCTTTTCTTCTGCTCCAGACAGACTCACACACACAACAACTCAGCTTGCTCTGTCTGCTGAAGGAGACACAATCCCCCAGCAGTGTCCCCTCTAAGCTGAGTTAGTGTGAGCTAGCTCACAGGTTTTTAGCCTCTGGCTCACACATTTCTGTCTTCGCTCAGGAAGGATGTGGCAGCCCAATCGCTGGCTCACAACTTTAATATCAGGAGCTCACAAAGTAGGATTTTTGCTCACAGGACTCCACAGCTTAGAGGGAGCATTGCCCCGCAGCAGAGCATCCCCACCACAGACCTTGCAAAAAAAACCCCAGGAGACAAACCCCCCCCCCCCAGAGTAAGCTCGTTCCCTCCAACCCACGGCCTCTGGCTAGAGACAAAACTGCCTCCTAGAACTTGGGTGTGTGTGTAACTTAATTGCAAAGTCCCATGGAGCGAAAGGAGACCCCATACCAGGCTCCCTGAATCGGCCCCGACTGCCTCCCAGCACAGCTCAACAGCAGCGCTCTTATATCCCGCAGGCACCGCCCATCCCCACCAGTGTTCCCTCTAAGCTGAGTCAGTGTGAGCTAGCTTGCAGTTTATTAGCCTCTGGCTCACACATTTCTATCTTTGCTCAGAAAGGGATGGCTCCAGAGCAAGCTAATTTACGCAGCAGCCAAACTGCTTGCTCACAACTTTTAATGCCAGGAGCTCACAGAGTTTTGCCCACAGCCCCCAATAGCTTAGAGCAGTGGTGGCAAACCTATGGCACGGGTGCCAGAGGTGGCACTCAGAGCCCTCTCTGTGGGCACGTGTGCCATCGCCCCAGCCAGGTCCAGACCAGTGTTCCCTCTAAGCTGAGTTAGTGTGAGCTAGCTCACAGTTTTTTAGCCTCCGGCTCACACATTTTTGCCCTAGCTCAGGAAGGATGGCTCCAGAGCAGACTGATTTATGCAGGAGCCAAATCACTCACTCACAACTTTAATGCCAGGAGCTCACAAAGTAGAATTTTTGCTCACAGGACTCCACAGCTTAGAGGGAACATTGATCCAGACCATCATTAAAGTGTCGAATTCTCTACCAAATAATTTTAAATAAATGAAAGCATTTGGGATTGCTTTCCTTACTTTGTTTGGGTCATCTTAAGTTAATGTATGAGTTAGGGTTAGTAAAACCTGAGTATTCAGGTTAAATTGCAGTGTTGGCACTTTGCGATAAACAAGTGGGTTTTGGGTCACAGTTTGGGCACTCGGTCTCTAAAAGGTTCGCCATCACTGGCTTAGACGGAGCATTGCAGGGTTCCCTCTAAGCTGAGTTGGGGTGAGCTAGCTCGCAGTATTTCAGCCTCCGGCTCACACATTTCTATCTTTGCTCAGGAAGGATGGGGCTCCAGAGCAGACTAATTTATGCAGCAGCCAGATCCCTCGCTCACAACTTTAAGGCCAGCAGCTCACAAAATAGATTTTCTGCTCACAAGACAGTTCACAGCTTAGAGGGAGCACCGCAGCCAGTGTTCCCTCTCAGCTGAGTTAGTGTGAGCTGGCTCACAGTTTCTTAGCCTCCGGCTCACACATTTCTGTCTCCGCTCAGGAAGGATGGGGCTCCAGAAGAGCAAACTAACTGATGCAGGAGCCCAATGGCTCGCTCACAACTTGAATGCCAGCAGCTCACACAGTAGAGATTTTGCTCACAAGACCCCGCAGCCTCGAGGGAACACTAGAGCATCCTCCCCGGCTACCTGCAGGGTCCCCACCCCGACTCACCTGCCCGGGCGCCCATGGCCAGCAGCACTCTTCCCAGGTGAATGAAAGAGAAGTGGGGAGGCGGGGCCAGCCCCTCCCGCCCCTGGCCAATCACCGCCGCGGGGGCGTGCCCACGCCGCTTTCTTCCATTGGGCGCTCGGGTAAAGGGGGCGTGTCCGCTGAGGCCGTAGCCCCGCCTTGGAGGCGGGCACAGGCTCCCTCGTCCAATCAGGCGCTCGCCGGAGGCGGTGGCGTGCCGGTCAGGCGGCCGCGACGGCGGCCGGGGAGGGACGCGCTTGGCCCGGGGAACGCCTCCGCCTCCGCCTCCCCCAGCCGGGCATGGCGGGCGCGGGGTCAGCCAGGAGCCGGGCGAGGTGCCCAGGTGAGCGGCCGCGGGCCTCCCGTGCGATGGGTGGCGTGGGCATGCGCTCTGGGCGCGGCGAGAGTGCCCTGGATTTGCGCGGCTGCTGTGATGATCACGATGCAGCAGGTCCAAAAGTTGCATGATGAGCCAGAGACCAAATGCAAAATGGGAAAGACTGCAAGCGTTGGGACCGAGGCTCCCTTTGCGCTGTGGAGTCCTGTGAGCAGGATTTACACTTTGTGAGCTCCTGGCATGAAAGCTGTGAGCGAGCCATTGGGCTGCGGCACAAATCAGTTTGCTCTGGATCAATGCTCCCTCTACGCTGTGGAGCCTTGTGAGCAGGAATTCCACTTTCTGAGCTCCTGGCATGAAAGCTGTGAGCGGGCCATTGGGCTGCTGCATAAATCAGTTTGCTCTTGAGCAATGCTCCCTCTAAGCCGTGGAGCCTTGTGAGCAAGAATTCCACTTTGTGAGCTCCTGGCATGAAAGCTGTGAGCGGGCCATTGGGCTGCTGCATAAATCAGTTTGCTCTGGAGCAATGCTCCCTCTACGCTGTGGAGCCTTGTGAGCAAGAATTCCACTTTGTGAGCTCCTGGCATGAAAGCTGTGAGCGGGCCATTGGGCTGCTCCATAAATCAGTTTGCTCCGGAGCTATCCTGCCTGAGCCAAGACAGTTATGTGTGAGCCGGAGGCTAAACAACTGAGCTAGTAAAAGGTTTCTCTACTCTAAGGGCGCGGTGCTCATTTCCATTTGCAAGCCGAAGAGCCAGCGCTGTCCAAAGATGTTTCCGTGGTCGTGTGGTCAGCGTGACTAGATGCCGAGGCGCACGGAACACTGTTAACTCCCCACCTAAGTGGTACCTATTTATCTACTTGCAATTTCTTGCTTTCGAACTGCTAGGCTGGCAGGAGCTGGGACCAGAGACGGGAGCTCACTCCGTCATGCAGCACACTCGGGTCTCGAACTGCCGAACTACCAACCCTTCCGGTCTGCAGTTCAGCGTCTTAACCACTTGAGCCACCCACCGCAGCCCTAAAAAAACTGAGCTAGCTCACACTAACTCAGCTTAGAGGGAACACTGCTTGGGAAATGAATGTTTTGTTACTCATCTCTTTCTCAGCTACTTTTTGACGGCTCCCAATCGATAAGAATCGCCCGAATTAGTTAAACCCATTTCAAGGGTCGTGTCCACACTGCATATTAAACCAGTTTCAAGCCTGCTCTGATTTAATATTGAGAGATATGTCTCCTGGTTTTTTCCCCTCTAGCCTGGATGCCAAACCCCAGAGGACAAGCCAAGTCCCAAAGATCTACACGAAGACCGGAGACAAAGGTAGCACCTGTGAGCCGGGGCTGACGCGAAGGGTAGTTTGCAGTTGCTTTCTGCCCAACCGGCCCATTTGGAGATTATCTAGTCTCTCAGTAATCTGTGGCCTACTGGGGGTAGAGGTTCAGGGAGGGGCCATGGCGCAGTGGCAGAGCCTCTGCTTGGCATGCAGAAGGTCCCAGGTTCAGTCCCTGTCTGGCATCTCCCGTTAAAAGGTCTGGCAGGAGGTGATGCCAGTCTGAGTAGACAAGACTTATCTTGGTGGGCCAGTGGCCTGATTCAGTAGAAGGCGGCTTCATGTGTCCAGCATAACATGACTGCATACTCATCTGATCTGAAGAAGTGGACTCTGGTCCGTGAAAGTTTATGCTGGAACAATAATGTTGTTAGTCTCTAAATTGCAACAAGACACCTGTCTCTAGGAGTGGCTCTCCAAAGACTCCTGAGAAAGATCTCCCCCAGCACCTGTGATCCCTTAGTGGAAATGTGTTGGTTTCAAGTTACTTACACTTCAGTCATTACAGAGTTAAGTTACGTTACATAATGTATTCTACGGCGGGAAAGTTTGTGGGAGTTGCTTACCCTAATGAAGTGACCTGTAACCTTTGTATTGGTCAACTAACAACTTGTTTGTGGAAATGCTTTGATCTAGCATTCATGTATTCACAAGGTTTATGGCTCTTTGTGTGAATCGGACAGGAAGCTCCCCTCTAGAAGCCAAGAGAGATAGAAAGATGTAGCTGTTAGCATTTAGTACTGAAAGTAACTGCAAGTATGTAACCTTTTCATTTTATTTCTTTTATCCAAAGTACCTTACCCATGCTTTGTTTTGTTTTATAGTAAAGATATTTTTCTTTTACTACTTTGGCTCTTGTGTTTACAAAACGACCATCGATCTTGAATCTCAGAATCCCAACAAAATGCCTGGGATTGAACCTGGGACTTTGTGCATGCGAAATAGGTGCTGGTCCATCTTGCTCAGACTCAGGATTGTTTCCTGCAGTTCTCTATGCTCCAAGGAAGGCCTTTTCCAGAACCCACCCCTGGAGATTCTGTAACTGGAACTTCTGCACGTCCCACCTTCAGATGATGATTTACACATGGAAACAAACATAGGCTCTTTCACCAGCTGTGGTCCTTAAAAGAGAGAGAGAGAGCTTGGGGTGTAACCAACAGTATTTTTGTATAGAAAATTCATTCGGAATCATATTGTGATATTTGCAACATCAATTGAAAACTTGCACAAAGACAAGGGAAACTTTATTCCAAAGACAAGAGGCTTTTGGTGGGGTCAGTTCACACATGCGGCTGTCGCTCACTGCGTGCATCATAATCAAGTATAGACAACCATTACTGATGCACTTGCATGTGTGAACGAGGGCTTGTGGGATCTGGCTGTGAGTGGTTTGAACCTTTTCTCACTCTTGCCATCCTTCGTTGTTTTAAAGGATTTTCCAGCACGTTCACTGGGGAGAGGAGAGCAAAAGATGACCAGATCTTTGACGCCTTGGGGACGCTGGATGAACTAAGTTCCGCCATAGGGTAACTGAACAGCTGATACGCATTTCTACTTGCTTAGATGTTTCAGAGAAGCAATAAGTTGGTTTTGTGAGGGTGCCAGTGAAAAGCGCAGTCTGGCTACTATATAGATGGTCGATGTCTTGAACTCTGGGGCTGTGTGTGTGTGATGTGGCACATCCTGCTGGAGCTGAAACCCCAGGCCCTGCTGCTGTATGAGCCCCCACACCCATGGCATGCTCTTCCTGCCTTCACCCCAGAAGGAGGTTTGGGCTGGGCCAAGCACTGAAGCCTCGACCCCTGTTTGATATCAGGCAAGCATGCCTTTGGGATTTTGACAAACCTAGGGAGACGTTGCCATGTTACCCAGCATGCTTCGTACCTGCTTGAAGTGAGGGGCAGAGATTTAAAACAGGCCCATGGACTTTGCACACATTCAGCCAGTTTGGTATCGTGGTTAAGTGCGTGGACTCTAATCTGGGAGAACTGGGTTTGATTCCCCACTCCTCCCACTTTCACCTGCTGGTGTGACCTTGGGCAAGCCAGAGTTCTGGCACAGCTGTTCTCGAAAAAGACCGGTTTCTCTCAGAGCTCTCTCAGCCCCACCCACCTCACAGGGTGTCTGTTGTGGGGAGGGGAAGGGAAAGGAGTTTGTGAGCCGCTCTGAGACTCCTTCGGGTAGTGAAGGGTGGGGTATAAATCCAATCTCTTCCTCTTCTCTTCATATACTAGGGATGGGTCTACATTACAGACTTGAGCTCATTTCCATATCTTTCTGATTTCTTTATTTACTTGCTTCATTTATAGCCCACCTTTCTCATAGAGACTCAATTACAATCGTTATTATTGTCTATTATTGTCATTGCTGTTTTATTGATGTCAGTTTATTAGTATTAATGATCGACTGTGAAGTTTTTAAATATTAGCCTGTCTTTTATTGCTTGTTCTAACCTGCCCTGCTTGTGGGGTAGGGCGGCCTAGAAGCCCAATATAATAAATAATAATTATAGCTAAGGCGGCTGTAATTACAGCTCCAGAGGAAACAATGAAACCAGAATTGTTTCCACTGATAAAGCACAGGTGTGCCCAGAGAGAATTACTGGGGAAGAGCAAATCCTTCAGTGCATCAGGTGGAGGGCTTGCGATTAATGTTGTTCTCTTGTCCTCCAGGCTGAGTGCGGAATTTGGCAGTGAGCGTGGCCACGCCTTTGTGGAAGAGCTTCAGAAGGTGAGGGGTAACGATCAGCTCAGTTCACCGGGCACACAAGCTCAGTGCTCACTACAAAGGACCGGCCCCAGATCCTTCCAATCCAGCATGCAGCTGCCAGTGTGCAGCGACTCTGAGTGTCGAACTAGGATCTAGGAGGCCCGGGTTCCAGACCCCAAACTGCCAAGAAGCTCACTGGGTAACCTTGGGCCCGTTGCACACTCTCGGCTTAGCTTACTTCGCAGGGAGGATAAATGGGGTGTGAAGAACCACACACACTGCTCTGAGCGCCTTGGAGAAATGGTGGGACAACAATGTTCTTAATAGCTAGAAAAACAGCGGGGGGGGGGGGAGGAATACATTGAGTGTAAACTGTAACTAAAGCCAGCACTACGGTCGGGGTCTCAAAATTGACCGTGGGCCCCAAGGACAATAGGCTCGCTACCACCAGGGCCAGGGCTTTTTCAGTGGCGGCCCCATCCTGGTGGAATGAGCTCCCGGAGGAGTTCCGCAGGGCCTGCGAGACGGAGCTCTTCCACCAGGCTTTCAGCTAGGGAGCCGCCGCCACTATAGAGCCCTGGGTCCTTGACACCTAGCCTGTGCTGTAGGGGGATCTTGAGCAGAATGACATCTAAGCTTTGTAAGCATACTATGAAAGTAAACCATCTTGAATAACTAATGAACCCTCTCCAGCACTTTATGTACCTGTGTTAGTTATAATGGTATTGTTTTAGATGATTTTATACTGTTTTTAATTGTATTTATGTACTGACTGTGAGCCGCCCTGAGGGTGGGGTATAAATGGAATAAATAAATAATAAAACTTAGAGGTTAAGATGCTGAGCTGCAGACCAGAAGGTCTGTAGCTCGACAGTTCGAGACCCGAGTGCCACATGACGGAGTGAGCTCCCGCCTCTGGGCCCCAGCTCCTGCCAACCTAGCAGTTCGAAAGCAAGAAATTGCAATTAGATAAATAGGTACCGCTTCTGGGGGAAGGGAACAGCGTTCCGTGCGCCTCGGCGTTTAGTCATGCCGGCCACACGACCACGGAAACGTCTTCGGACAGCACTGGCTCTTCGGCTTGGAAACGGAGATGAGCACCGCATCCCTAGAGTCGGATTCGACTGGCGTTCGAGCGAGGGAATCCTTGACTTTTAACCTTTCAAACCCCATCTGGAACTGTTCGCTAAAGTGAAGTGTTTGTCGGGTGACCACTGTGGCCAGCTAGATGCACTAGAGGCGGTGCCACAGAGAGCGTGGGAGAGGTGGCCGGCCACCCCCCTCTGATTCCCCCCCCCATCCCTTGTTCACTGGAGTGGGGCTGGTCCAAAATATGAAGGCTTCACGCTTCCCTGTTGCTTCCCGTCACGACAGCTCTTTCTCTAGTTCATCTGTAGAAGCCATTTTCAAAAGGCGGCTCTGCTGGCGGCTGTCAGAGCGTCACCGTACTTAGGACAGTGAGTTCTCAGGCTCAAAGCCACGGGTGACCTGCTTTCAGAATGGCACCCGCCGTCTTTGCCAAAAACGTTTCCCTGGCTCACATCCTTGTTTCCCTCCTTTCTTCCTGCAGGTACAGTGTATGCTGCAGGACGCCGGCTCCAACGTGGCCACTCCGATCTCCTCTGCCAGAGAGTCTCACTTAAGTAATTGGAGAAGAAGGGGGAAATACTTCTTTTTAAAATACAAGCCCTGCACGTCTCAGCTGGTTTTCTCCAGTTTGGTATAGTGGTTAGGAGCGCGGACTCTAATCTGGGAGAACCGGGTTTGATTCCCCACGCCTCCACATGCAGCTGGTGGCATGACCTTTGGTCAGTCACAGTTCTCTCAGAGCTGTTTTCTCAAGGGCAGTTCTCTCAGAGCTCTCTCAGCCCCACCTACCTCACAGGGCGTCTGTTGTGGGGAGGGGACGGGAAAGGGATTGTAAGGTGCGCTAAGGCTCCTTCAGGTAGTGAAGGGCGGGGTATAAATCCAGTCTCTTCTTTTCCTCTTCTCTTGTGGCACGTGACTGATGCATGAATGGCAAGCCAGTCATTAGCTGTGTTTGCTAGCCGGGCTGGGCCCGGGACTTGTGAATGAGCTCCGAAAGAACCATCGGCTCCCATCTCTTGACCTCATCAGCTGAGCTGACCCTGCTCAGAAAGTGCTCCCAGGGGAGTCTACGCAGCTGGGCTGGTGTGCCCCAGTCTCTTCTTCCCAGACCCCCCACACACACCAATGCCCAAAGCAGGTCTCTGCTCAAGAGCCCCAAAAGTGGGACCTGGCTAGCTGGGAGTCAGTTTGGTGCAGTGGTTAAGAGCGCGGACTCTAATCTGGGAGAACCCGGTTTGATTCCCCACTCCTCCACATGCAGCTGCTGGTGTGACCTTGGGTCAGTCACAGTTCTCTCAGAGCTGAACTGGAAAGAGCAGTCCTCTACAGAACTCTCTTGCAGCCCCACCTGCCTCACAGGGTGCCTGTTGTGGGGAAGGGAAGGAGTTTGTAAGCCACTCTGAGACTCCCTTGGGTAGTGAAGGGCGGGGTATAAATCCAATCTTTCCTTCTTCCTCTCCTTCTGTTAGTGTGCTCTTGGTCCCTGGCGTCGGCTTTACAGTGTGCAAATGGCGTCAGAGAAATAGCCAGAGCTGTATCAAGTGATGAACCTAGAGATGTAGAAGGCACCTTGGCGCATCTGCCAGGGTGGCTGTTGTTTTCTTCACTCGTACCCTCCTCTCCTTTGCAGGACGCACGTCCTTTAGTGAAAAGCCCATCCTGGAGCTCGAGACCTGGATCGATCGATACTCAGACCAGCTTCCACCTCTGACGGCCTTCATTTTACCGGTACCTATTTTGCGTGCTTCTTTAAGGTTGGCATAGTGGAAATGCAAAGGTCCGATGTCCACCTAGTTCAGCGACTCACTTCCCCTCAGCCGGTGATTCCCCAGAAAGACGGTGGGTGGTTCACTTCTCTCTCGACCCAGTTCACAGAGCTTCCTTCAGCACACTTACCCTTGATGCTGGCATTTGTTTTGGAGGTGGGGCTCAAAACGTTGTCAGTGGCAGAAGACATTAATCTCAGCCTTACTGCCGCAAAAAGCGTCATTGCTATGAAATGGAAGGACAAAGCTGTACCAGCTGTAGACCGGTGGTATAGGAAGGCATGGGACTATTTCATATATGACAAAATCACTGGCTGGATAGCTCAAGGGGACACTTGTTCCCGGTACAACAGTGCAGTGTTAAAATGGAACCGTTTTTTGGATCATAAAGTGATCGAATTTCTAATCTCAAGCATCCTAACTGGTTGGATCAGTCCTATTTGTTATTGTTTCATTGAATTAGAATCTTTTTGAAGATAGCACAAGAGATACACAAATAAGGGAAGTAGTATGTTTAAGAGGACATGGGTTCTAAGCAGTGTTCTCACTAAGCTGAGTTAGTGTGAGCTAGCTCACTGTTTTTTAGCCTCTGGCTCACACCTTTTTGTCTCAGCTCGGGAAGGATGGCTCCAGAGCAAACTAGCTTATGCAACAGCCCAATCGCTCACTCACAACTTTAATGCCAGTTGCTCACAAAGTAGAATTTTTGCTCACAAGACTCCACAGCTTAGAGGGGACATTGGTTCTAAGTTAGTTGAACATGAGCAAAAAGTTTGATATTTTACTTGTAAGGTAAGCGAAGTACTGTAGGTTTCACGCTTTGATTAATGGATTTCTGTATTTGATTATGTTGTATTGTATTGTATGGCAACCTTGTCTTTTCATGTATTATTGTTTAATAAAACTAAAAAAAGTCGTTTAATAAAATTACAATTACAAAAAAAACAAGGACTCTTCCCTACTCTTTTGCGTTTACTGCCGTTTCAGTCTGGAGGCAAGAGCAGCGCCAGTCTCCATCTCTCCAGAGCCGTCTGTCGCAGGGCCGAGAGGCGGTAAGCGGCTTCCGTGAGCTCCAGAAGCCTTGAAAAGGGAGGGGAGGGTGGCTGGCTGAAAGAGTCCTCTGCCCTGTCGGACTCTCTTGTGCCTGTTAGAAATGGGCTGTCATGTTTGGGGCAAGACTCGGGGGGGGGGGGTTTGACTGGGCGTGAACTGTTGATTTTAACCACCAGTGAGTGGTGCGGGGGCAGTGCTGGGAACAGCTTTGGAGAAACTGTTTGCAGTCTTGAGTAAATTGCGCCGTTAAAAGCACATTCCTTTAAAAACTGGCGGTAAGCCTGGGATGTTGACATTGTGGGTGACTGAGGCAGTGGCTGCAATAAAATCACAATGTTGTGTGCTTTACATTATGTTTCAATATGAAGACCGTGTTTTGTTTTTTTAATCCTCCGTAGCGTCGTTCCTTTAGTGAAATCCGGAGAAGCAGATGCAAACGTGGCCAAGTATTTGAACAGGTAACTGAAGCCTCGGGAGCATCATTCTGTCCCTGGACCACCGATGTGCAGGACGGGGTCACGGGCAGTGTCCGTGGTAGCCCAGTCCAGAGCGGGGTTAGCACCAGTAGGGGTGATGCAGTCCTTTTGCTAACCACAGAGCAACACTGAGACCTTCTCTGCTCTTTCATAGAGATGCCACATTTAAACTGCACCCTCCACCACACCCCTTTGCCATTTGTTAATGCTGAGTCTGACCTCAGAGATAAGAGAGAAGGTTGTTTTAATCTCTGTCTAACTTCTCAACTTCTGTGCTTCCTTGCCTGTGGAAGAGGAGGAAGGGAGGGGTGCTAAAGATGGGTTTGAGACTTGGAGGGAGGGAGGGAAAGGTTAAGATCGATGGGGCTGGCAGATGGGAAGAGGGAGAGCAAAAGAGAGGGGGGCGGCTGGAGGGAAGCGCCTTTGAGAGGAGACATGAGAAAGAGGGGGGGGCGCACTCTTTGCAGTGGGGCATGGCTCACAGCACATAAGAACATAAGAGAAGCCAATGTTGGATCCGGCCAGTGGCCCATCCAGTCCAACACTCTGTGTCACAGAGTGGCCAAAAATACCAGGTGCCCTCAGGAGGTCCAGCAGTGGGGCCAGGACACTGTTGCCCCCCCCCCCCCAAGCACCAAGAATACAGAGCATCCCTTGCCCCAGACTGAGCGTTCCTATCTATACCTTGTGGCTAATAGCCACTGATGGACCTCTGCTCCATATGTTTATCCAATTCCCTCTTGAAGCCGTCCATGCTTGTAGCCGCCACCACCTCCTGTGGCAGTGAATTCCATGTGTTAATCACTCTTTGGGTGAAGAAGGACTTCTTCCCCCTATCCCTCACCACTACAAGCTCATCAAGGGCACAGGTAGGGACAGCATGATGTGGCTGCCGGAGCTCAGGGGAAAGCCTCAGGTGCCAGGGCACAGCTCCGGGACTTCGGACAACCATTTCAGCAGCTGTCCTATAATGTGGGTCCTGCATATGGATAGATAGATGGGAGCTGCTGGAGTCTGCCAGAGGGCTCCTTTGGCAGTAGGCACCTGAGCCTCAGGAGGGCCCGCAGCCATGGCCTGATGCTGTTTATGCACACCTGTCTTAGAATCATAGAATGTTAGAGTTGGAAGGGACCTCGCGGGTCATCTAGTCCAGCCCCCTGCACTCTGCAGAAGCACAGCCAAAAGATAGCCCTACAGCATACCCGTAAGGTGGTCATCCAGCCTCTGCTTGAAAACGTCCAGCGAAGGAGCATCCAACACCTCCCGAGGAAGTCTGCTCTACTGCTCAACCACTCTTAAAGTTAGGAGGTTTCTCCTGATATTTAGCCTGTAACGACTCCCTTGTAATTTCCACCCATTAGATCTAGTCTTGCAATCCGAAGCAAGAGAGAATAGATCTGCTCCATCTTCTACTTGACAGCTATTCAAATGCTTGAAGACTGCAATCATGTCCCCTCTAAGCCTTCTCTTTCCCAGGCTAAACAGACCCAACTCTCTCAGCCTTTCCTCATAAGACTTGGATTCCAACCCTCTCACCATCCTGGTGGTCCTCTTCTGGACACGCTCGAGCTTGTCAACATCCTTCCTGAAATGTGGTGCCCAAAACTGGACACAGAACTCCAGATGAGGCCTGACTATAGCAGAGTAGAGCGGAACCACCACCTCCCATCTTCTGCCTCTAGAGTTAGGAATCTGGGGCTACTCTAGCTTGCCCCCCCCCCCCAATGCCTGGCCTTGCCTTGATTTCTGTACTTTTCTGGGCGGTCGTAAGAAGCCTGCTAAAGGCTTCTGCAATGTAGGTGCAGATCTGTGCTTTTTAGCAGTGGTTACCCATCGTACTGGATGGGCAGCATATTGACAGTTGTGTATGTAAAGACATGAAGCTGCCGTTGGTCTTTCAAGGCCAGGCTTGTCTCCACGGAGTAGCAGTGACTCTCCAGGGCTCAGGCAGGGATCTTTCACATCTTTGTTTGGTAATTGGAAACGTTGGAGATTGAGTCTAGGACTTGCATGCCAAGGAAATCCTCTGCAAATAGGATAACACGGCACTTCTAGTGCCACCGTTTTCCTATGATCGATGTGTGACTTGTCTCCTCCTCGCCTTTTGTTCCAGGCTTAGCGACTACCTGTTTGTCTTGGCCCGCTACGCTGCATGGAAGGAAGGGAAGGAAGAGAAAGTCTACACCAGAAGGGAGCCCTGAGCCCAAGGCTCTCCGTCGCAGGCTGCAGCCAGAGAGGACTTGACAGGACCAGGCTTAAAGGGCAAAGGACTCCATCCTAAAAAAAACAGTCATGGAAACTTTGCAGCTCTGGGAAATCTGCTGTGAGGAATGACATCCCAATGGCAACCATTGGCCATTTCCCATTCGACTTCAGCATCATTAAGGGAAACCAGAGGGAATGCAATGAATTGGGGGGGGGGGACTTTAGTGCCTTCTAGCAGGTGTTGTGGAGAAAAGCTCAGAGAGGAGGCAGCCAATTCAGAAAGCTCTGGCCGAGATATCACATGCATGTGTTCTGGTTCTGCCAGAACTCGCCCGGTAATGCAGCACTCCCCTTCTGCGGCCAGGCTGCTTCTGTTTTCAGGTCTACCACACTTTGGCTGAGATTAATGCTTCTGTTCCTGGATCCCAGCTGCACTGAGTGCCTCCAGACAGAAGACAATTTAATTACATTTCGAAGAAAACATGTAAACACTCAAAATACAGTAAAGATGGACAGTGCTAATCTTACGCTATCGGGGCAGGGTGCTTTGATACCTGACAGATGTTGCAGAGATTCAAAGGCTGCGGCTGAGAAAACACAGGGTATTTTTTTTAGGGGGGGGGGTAAATTCTGTATGATGCCCAAAGTCAGTCGGTAGAGGATCTTGAATGTCGCAGTGGATGAGGAGGGGGTGAATGAGATTACATTAAGTAGCAGCTGCAAGAAGAGACAGAAACTCTGTCTGGGGTGGCAGAACTCCGAGCTGCAGCAGAATGGAAAAGGGGGGGGGAGGTACACCCCATCTTCTTACATCCTTTTGCTTTTATTTGTTTTCATTTCCCATCAGGCAACTTTTTCCAATGGGATGAAATGCTCAGAGACTGTACTTCCCCCAAACGGCATGCGGATGGGAGAAAGGGGCCCTGATTTACAGGAAATAAAAGTCTTACCTGTGGATATGATGCACCTGCAGAAGGCAGAAGAGCTTGGTAGCCCAAGAAAGAGGGTGCAGAAGTTTGCATTTGACCCCCCCCCCCTTCCAAATGAGTCAGGCAGTTCCAGAGGCAAAAGCCATCCAGCACAGCTCCAGGAGGACACTTTGTCTCTTGTTCATTGTTCAGACAGATCTGTTCTGCTGGGGGGAGGGTAACATTTCCTCCACAGAAGGCTCTTTATACTTGAAAAAAACCACCTATAGTCGAATGCATCCGTTGGATCCCACCCACTGAGTGTTTGGTGGAAAAACCCACACTAGGAGAAATGCTCTGGGTAGAACGCCCTGTGCGTGGATGGCTCACAGTGATGCCAGACACACACACATGATTATGGTACGTGCCTCTGATGCAAATAAACGTGATTCTAGCCCAGGACACCTAAGCCCAAAGCCAGACATGATGCAGAAAGTCATGTGAAGGAGCTCCCATTAAGGGTTTCTCTCTAGCGGGCAGGAGTGTGGACTCCAATCTGGGAGAACTGGGTTCGATTCCCCACTCCTCCACATGCAGCTGCTGGTGAGACCCTGGGTTAGTCACAAGTTCTCTCAAGGGCAGCTCTCAGCCCCACCTACCTCACAGGCAGTGTTCCCTCTAAGCTGAGTGAGTGTGAGCTCGCTCACAGTTTTTTAGCCTCCGGCTCACATATTTTTGTCTTCGCTTAGGGGGGATGGCTCTAGAGCGAACTACTTTATGCAGCAGCCAAATCGCTCGCTCACGACTTTAATGCCAGGAGTTCACAAAGCACTAGAATCTTTGCTCCCAAGACTCCACAGCTTAGAGGGAACATTGCTCCCGGGGTGTCTGCTGTGGGGAGGGGAAGGGAAAGGAGATTGTAAGCTGCTCTGAGGCTCCTTTGGGTAGGGAAGGGCCATGGGGTGTAAACCCAATCTCTTCTTCCCCTGTCCTCTTTTTTTTAAGGAGAAAATTGCTTGGGATGTCAATGGAGAGAATAAATAATAGGGAAAGGGTGGGGGCATATCTCACTACACAAACCGGCGCACGCCAAGCGGGTGATTCCATGGGCTTTCTTCCCTCCGGCCTGGCCCCACCAGGGTCAAATTCAGCTCCAGGCTCACCGTTTTACTAACAGAACTCCGCAAGTCTCACTAGCTGCTTCCATGATAGCTACAAAGGGAATCTTCTCACAGCCTCCTTTTCTGGTTCGGCAACAAGAGTAATGGGAGCTCCCGAAGGATGCCCAGGTGAGCTTGGGGCTTGCAGGGGGACGGAGCAGCAAGGCAGGAGACGGACATACAGCAAGCGGCCAGCTCCTGGTCTGCGCCAAAAGAGAGAGCGCACAGGAGGAGCTAGAAGTCCAAACAACATCCATGACAAAAATAACGAAGAGTCAGTACCGGTTTGTACCATTACGAATTTTACTGGCAAAGTGAGGTATAAATTGGAAGTAAATAAAAAAATATATGTGAAATAGTTTGCTATAATAATTATAATTCTAGAAGACTTCTAAAGGTAAAGGTCTCCCTTGCTCGAAAGCCAGTTGAGTCCGACTCTAGGGTTGCGGTGCTCATCTCAGTTTCCAAGCCGAAGAGCCAGCGCTGTCCGAAGACATTTCCGTGGTCGTGTGGCCTTCTAGAAACCAGCTAATTCATTGTGAAGACCTTGGGTTCTGAGATCGGAGACTCAACGTGGGGTGTTTATCTCAAGAGCTGATAAGTGGAAATGGATAAGAATTGTAATCGCTACACGCTCAGATAAAGCAATCCTTGTGAAACGGGTATTTTTATTGCGCAAAATTTGTCGCGTGTGAGCGATAAAGAGAGTTTCCCACAGAATTAGAATTATTATAGTAAACAATTTTGCATATAGATCTTTATGGGCTCTTCGTTGCATTTGTCACGGATGTTTTGTTCGGATTTCCAGCTCCTGGGCGGCAGCTGATCTCGCTCTCTGCACTGAAACTGGATGAGCTTTGGACCCTGCCCGTCCCCAGGGGCAGAGATGCCTGGCTCTGTTTCCGGAGCTGCTCCTGTGAGTGGAGGATGGCAGCAAAACTGCTTGCCTTTGGACTCACACACACACCCCACACAACCCGTGGGAGAGAGCAGCCGTCTGCAAAAAGGAGGCTCCGGATTCCCAAGTTACGTGCCTCCCCCCCCCCTCCCGCCTTTCATTAGAGCTGCTGGGAGAAGCAGGTAATCTGGACAAGCTGGTGGCGCCAGTTCCTCACACCCTGGCGCTCAGCAAGCATCAAGCCCGGACACATCTGCAGAACCTCTGCAGCAAAGGCAGCTGCAGAACAGCTCGATCTTCTGCATCCCCAAAGACTGCCGCCGGCCCCTGAGCAGCTGCCCTCATTTCACAACACGTTCTCACAAGGCAAGAACTTGTGGCCACTCAGTGAAATTGCTGAGTGAGTAGTCGGGTTAGAGCAGATAAAAGGAAGTCCTTCTTCACCCAAAGAGTGATGAACATGCGGGATTCACTGCCACAGGAGGTGGCGGTGGCTACAAGCATGGACGGCTTCAAGAGGGAATTAGATAAGCATCTGGAGCAGAGGTCCATCAGTGACTCTTAGCCACAAGGTATAGATAGGGCAAGGGATGCTCTGTATTCTTGGTGCTGGGGGGGGCAGAGTGGGAGGGCTTCTAGTGTCCTGGCCCCACTGCTGGACCTCCTGATGGACCCTGGCTTGATCCAACATTGGCTTCTCTTATGTTCTTAACTTTGAGCATCTATCTAGTACTGCTCATATAGTGACAGCCTTGAGCAGAAAACAAAATTATAAGTTGAGATAATGTCTTACTTAGTGTTATAACTGAGCATCGGAAGGATGGGTGCGGGAAAGGCCATGACGCAAAAAGGTGTTCGGTTGAGGTGAAGGTCTGTTTTAAGCCCAAGTCTCCTTTTCATAGGTGGAAAACCTCACTTGCCTTGAGAATGGAAGGTACGCAAAACTATTACATTTGTATGCTGCGTCTCGCCAAGTGGTCTCAAAGCGGCTAACAGCAGCTAAAATATTAACTGGCATCAGTTAAAAACAACACAAATAAAACTAAAAGGCAGCCCACATAAACAGATCCGACTAATGAAAAGCTAAATGGAAGATGATGTCGTCGAGGCTTTCACGGCTGGAGCTCAGTTGTTGTAGGGTTTTGGGCTGTATGGCCAGTCACAGCTGCTGGCGAAATGTCAGGTAATACAATGCCAAGACCACGGCCATACAGCCCGGAAAATCCACAACCACTAAATGGAAGAACTCTGCTTTGCAGGCCCTGCGGGACTATCTGACAAGCTGGTTCCACTAGAACGGGGAATGCACATTGATGGGGTCTGAACTGGCAGAGACTGACCAAGATCTTGGAGTCGTAGTAGATAACTCAATGAAAATGTCGAGACAGTGTGCAACTGCAAAAAAAAAAAAGGCCAATGCTATGCTGGGGATTATTAGGAAGGGTATTGAAAACAAATCAGCCAGTATCATAATGCCCCTGTATAAATCGACGGTGTGACCTCATTTGGAATACTGTGTACAGTTCTGGTCACCACACCTCAAAAAGGGTATTATAGCATTGGAAAAAGTGCAGAAAAGGGCAACTCGAATGATAAAAGGGTTGGAACACTTTCCCTATGAAGAAAGGTTAAAGCACTTGGGGCTCTTTAGCTTGGAGAAACTACGACTGAGGGGTGACATGATCGAGGTTTATAAGATTATGCATGGGATAGAGCAAGTAGAAAAAGAGGTACTTTTCTCCCTTTCTCACAATACAAGAACTCGTGGGCACTCCATGAAATTGCTGAGCGGTCGGGTTAGAACGGATAAAAGGAAGTCCTTCTTCACCCAAAGAGTGATTAACACATGGAATTCACTGCCACAGGAGGTGGCGGCGGCTACAAGCATGGATGGTTTCAAGAAGGAATTGGATAAACATCTGGAGCAGAGGTCCATCAGTGGCTCTTAGCCACAAGGTATAGATAGAAACTCTCAGTCTAGGGCAAGTGATGCTCTGTATTCTTGGTGCTTGGGTGGGGGCAACAGTGGGAGGGCTTCTAGTGTCCTGGCCCCACTGGTGGACCTCCTGATGGCACTTGGTATTTTTGGCCACTGAGTGACACAGAGTGTTGGACTAGATGGGCCACTGGCCTGATCCAACTTTGGCTTCTCTTATGTTCTTAAGGCCCTCATCCTGGTGGATACCAGGCGGGGCCAGGCACCACAAACAGCCTGTGGGTTGAAGAACACAAATTTCAGGGGGGAACATGTCAGAAGAGGCAGTCCAACAGGTATGAAAGTGGGCAGGGGCCAAAGGTAGGCTTCTGACAACTAGAGAAGGGTGAGAGGGCACCTACAAGAGGAAGAGGGAGCCGCGGGACCCTGTATCCAATTAGCAGCAGTCGCTGCCAGCGAGGTAGTCCACCAGACCTCGCTGCCTGGCCCCCAGCATCCTGGTAGCAGAAGTGTGCTGCCCCCCAGGGATCACAGCA